CTACCTAGACATAGGCCGAAGCACCACAGACACTCTTCAAACCTAAAACGAACAAATTGTAAATAAATACTAGATAGAACGGCCTCGGCCAAAGTCTTACATAGCCCTGGGCTCACTAGACTATAATGGAATAATAATAATAATAAACACCGGTACATCTGATAGGATTACGTACTAGAACCTAAAAGCTAAATCTACTCAGGATACCCCTACTACCATAGACAAAGCTTGCCTCAGTTATCTCCTGAATGAAATCGTGTTATCTATGCATGACTAAAACAGGTCCACTTCTATGATCCTTCGAATACCAAAGTAGCAATCTCCGCTATTCCTGGGCGCGGGCTTACCATTTTAAGAAGCCTTGTACCATCACTCCGTACATAAACACTAGAGAAGTAGTAGAAGCAAAAGAAGATCCCCGAGGTAGTGGTGGTTGTAGCAATGAGTAGGAAGAGGGGATTGCGAAAGGATTTGAACGTCTTGAGGAGACCCTTCACAGGCTACCATCATCATATTGTGCAGTGTAGATGCACTATTTGTCCGGCCCGACTCTATAGTTCGGCCCGACTCTAGTCTGGATAGGGAGCAGGCGAAACCCAGGTGACGATATGTCAAACTATTCCATCCTGAATGATGCTAAGAAGAGCCGGTGTGAGTTGAAAGGAAATCCCTTCCATGGAGTAATTCAGCGGCGGTATTGGGGTGTCTGGGTATAAAAACTTCCAGCCCCCGACAACTTCATCGTGCACTACAGTTTTGTCTTGTTCATAATTGATATCAAAATCGCTAAAATGAAGCTATCATCTATCATTGTCCCTGCGTGTTTCGTAGGCATGGCTGCATCAGTTGACATGTCTCTATACTCAGCAGGAACTGGAGTTGATGCAGCGTTCAAGCCCTTTCTGCAAGAGTATGTTACCCAAGAAGTCCCCTGCGAGTGCATTCAAGAGGTAGATCGCTAAATTTCTTTTGTAGGCTTTATGCGTCTGCTGAGGATCCCGCTGCTACAACAAGGTTCACCAATTTCTTCACAGTGGATGGGAAGCTCATTGTTCTTGAAAACACTGCCACCGGGGCCGAGCAGATTGTCGCGTTGAAACAGGCGCTCCTCCCGACGGCGGGCAACAAGCATTGGGATCATTTACCGAATATAACAACTGTTTCCTCAGAGACGGCTGCGCAGAAGACCTACCAGGTGCTTGGTGTTATTGAGACTACTTTTGATGGTGGCAATTGTTCTCTGGCATAGTACGGTTCACCTTCACTGCTCCTCGAGCACCAAAGCAGTTTTATGAATCACGCTAACTTGAAAGTTGTAGCTATTCGAGTCGCTTCACTGTGACCAAAGGTGCCAACGGTTCACCAAACCTCACTCCCCACAGTGGGAGCCTCGTCGCATACGACGACTTCGTTGTGAGTCCGTCGAAGTCGCCGACCGACATACCCTGTACAGCTTAGTGCAGACTTTAGAAGGCAGGAATGAGTCATGAATATGCTCGATGGAATCACAATTTACGTTATATTTCAAACTATTGGCTTGCTTTTGAATTAAAGGATATAATTTAGTATAACTATATGTCAATGGCAAATGTCCCCAGGGTAACTTGACTAGACTTATTCTATGCTGTGTATGGTTTCTTCTTGTTTCCTTAGTTTGCGTAATAATAGCACTAGTGTAATGCTCATGGTTCGTGCATTTTACTTCTTAAGCTCAGATCAGAATACTCTTGACGACAAACAACATGAAAATTAATAAATGCGAGTTACCCGACTGTGAATAGCATAGACCCACTGCACGAAGAAGCTACACCTGATACAGCGATACGTCAAAAAACTCGGCGTCCTGTTAGCTCGTGAGAGGGAAATGACAATGATCATCAAACTTGGCAGGGTCTAGAGTGATTCTTTTGAAGATATAGAATTGGTAAAGCAAATATGCCATACACGAATAACGTGCGGATGACTTTGGGTAGAGCAAGATGGCTCAGCTTGGTGCAAGACGAAGCGCTACGCGCTGACCGTATCGTCGTACGATCAAAAAGCCGTACCAAGAAACATTTGAATCATGCATTGTTGCTTTTCATATCCAAATACGAATCACACGATAGAAAGGACCTCGCCACGTATAGCGTTCTCCACAAAACGAGTCACGTAACCGCAATCATCTCAATACCCAGGAATTCCAGCAGTCACCACCGCTCATGCATTACAAACAATCATTTCGATGGATTCGTCCAGACATGATTTACATATATCCAGAATTCTCAGGAGTTCTCGAAAACAAATCCAGAAACTGCTTCTCTGCTCTACCTTGACATCGATCAACGGTTTGACTCATCAGCCCTTACCGCATCGAGATTTCAATTTTACATCATGATACACTTTATTGAATCACAAATACAGTGCACATTAGTTTGGGTGTCCCCAAAGTCGCGAGCAGGTAAGACTACAATGATATTGAACTTCCACGTCGTCGGGCTACACCGTACAAGGTCGGCATCTGTATCAAAAGTCCTCCTAGGTATAAGCGCATCCGGGTATAACAAAGCTTATGATCTGGTCGTGGGAAAGAGGACATCGCAACTATTGGAAAGAAATCGCGTTTTTCTTCCGGTTAAGCACATGACTGCAGCGCAGGACCTCGATAGAAAACTCTGCTGCAAAGTTTCTGCCAGATCAAGTGGACCATATACGAGAAGGATTGCAAATTTATGAAAGTACTATTGAACAGGATCCACTAGCATCCACATATGCGGGGACCGTCATCTCGGCTTTCTTGCACTGCACGCCGTATCATGACTTGCTTATCGATCGCGATGTTTCGTAAACGAGGCCAGACAGGACGCAAAATGCAAAGCGCAGGAGGCCTCCAACCATGGATGGTGCGTAGTAAGAGCTGCGGGGATATACATACTACCATCTCTTCGCCGGTAACTGTTTCGGATAAAGGTGAACTATTCGAGATAACAGATCTCCCAGGCTTTCCCTACCGGAGCTCCTAGCGCCGACCTTATCAAAATAGCAAGCCCTGTCTAAGCGAGAAAGCAGAAAATTCAGCCCCAAGCAATGACGTTTACGAAAATTGCGATCATCTACAAGGCCCCACATCTTTCTTTTGAACAATTCAAAGCACATTACGAGATTTCAAATGTACCTTTAGTGAAGTCATTGCAAGACGAACGATATGCGCCCCTGCTCTACAAGCGCCGGTATATAAAATTGAACACAGAGTCTAAGTCGCCAGGATTCGATGCTATCACAGAACTCGTGTTCAAGGACGAATCGACGTATAGGAAATGGGAAGCTCATTTAGCGGAAGGTGATCGTGACAAAAGGATTTTTGAGGATAGCCTGACTTTTACTAATGGAGAAAAATCGGGCTATCTTGCCATAGACGAGGTGATAGAGTGAGATAGACTCTGAGGTCTTCTACATCAGGTTACCCGTCCAAAGGACTGAGATGGTTCCTCGCTAGCGGCTGGCTTATCGTATGTTAATATGTAACCTACTCTTAAGCGCTCTGGTCCATCCAATACCAGGTACAAAATGGCTCAACAACGGCTTTTAGAACATTCTTCTTGACATGAATCATATGCAAGTACTTCATTATTAACCCAGAATCTGGTAGTTCACATATAATTGGCTAAATCTCTATTAATCGTTAAGAAAGCGGCGCCAGATCCCTATGCAGAGCTTGCAGCCATGCATGTCCTATATCGAATGATATGCAATCCGCTGTATAGTTTGCTACTCTTGTAAAATACCCGTATGTATCCAACAACATCGAGAAGTTTTTGCTATTAGTCAATTCTACTCGAAAATGCTTCTCATGTGAGAATCAAAAGCGACTTGGACGTATCTTTGGCATTGTTTGATGATGATAACTGAGGTTCTCCAGAACCTGAGGTTAGACCAGGTTCCAGTAGCTTGTTTTGGGTCGAATAATACCAAAATATGGAATGTCTCAGGACTTTTTAAAAGCGTCAAACATAGCAAATAGAAAGTAATCCAGCTTATTCAGCGAACTGGATTACAATGAGTAATTCTCTACCAACTCTGAGCTAAGCCACAAATGGAAATCTTGCGGGAGTGAACATTGACTCCAATCTCTTTCATCTATGTGAAAAAGATTTTCATGCACCGGCTGCCCTGGAAAAGAAATTCCGTCGAAGACTTGGTCATATCCTGAGCGCACTTCCACCGAAAGAGCCAATTCCATTGTTTCCTGGCATAGGTTATTTGGTAATGAGTCAGAAGTGGCTATTATTGTCTCTGTATTACAATTGTAATTGTCTGCTGTCGAATTGCCATTAACATGGCTGGACATGAGTTGTTCGTTATTAAACTGTTATGAACAACTAGGCTCATCCAAGTCTGTTGTCGAAGGTATGAATACTTTACCGTTTTGCTCCATAGCATCCACGAGGTTAGGGTAGCTATGTAAACAGTCTGTATCCAGTTCGAGATTCGTATGATCATGTGAAACGCCCTCAACTCTCTCGTCTAAGCATATATCAGTCATTCCTGGCCTCAACCTCAGCATCATTCGTGCATCGGTATTGATACTTGGAATGCGGAAGCCTTGAGCCAGCTTTATTGTCAGGTCTTCTAAATCGTATTGTTGCCAGGTGTTGAGCAATTTTTCTCGAAGCTGCGGCCTGTTGTTGATGATCTGCAACTTTCCTCACGATGTGATTGTCATCAAATGTCGTACCATACAAGAAGATCGACGGAGCCCAGGTGCATGCCCAAACAACGATGGCGCTGGCCGTCGCCATGACGGGCAAGAACAGTAATTTTCTGCGGTTGGCAAAATGAGGAACAGGAAAGTGGTAACGTGTTTTACAAGCGAGCGGGCCATACAAGCGAGCGGGCCACCCCACCAACTTTGCGCACCTCTCTAACTCTGATCAACTATGGCCCTATCAAATCAAGCCCACAACGTCTCTCACGAATCTGATATACAGCTAGCAATCTTAGCTA